ACTTCCCATAACAGCATAAATCAGATCACAGCACTTTAGCAGTATCAGTCAGTCTGTACGTAAAGCAGCACTTTAACCTCATGTTCAATACACCATCAGCAGCACACTGATCACTTCATCATCTCATCACCTCAAAAATAAAACACTACTATAATCTCATGTTCAATACATCACCATCAGCAACCTGATCATCACTTCACCCAACATTCTGANTTCAGTTCGAGACCGCAGCCAGTCAGATCAAAGACTTTAGTTTCTAAAGTGCAACGCACTTCAAAAACTAGGGGGCTTCTGTTATGCCTCAAAAGTCAAGCCTATGTCAGCACAATTAATGTCTCTTTGTACCAGCTGCCAAGCCCATATCTCCAAAGATATTCTCACCAACTTTATCTCATTTCAAAGAGATAAATGGACGAGAGCCTTCCATGTGTCAAGGCAGTTTGCAAAAGCTCTCATTGCATTGAGTGCAAATGTGAATAAATGGATTTTTCTCTTCCCGAAGAGAGGAGGCTGGTGGCTGGGCTGAGATTTAGCTTCAATTCTTTCTCTCTGTAAAAACACTGTATTTCTTCATCTTTGTATGCCTTACGGGCAAATTCATAGAAATAGTGAGAGATCAATAAAATAACAGTGGATGTAGGAGTCGCTCGTTGAGCATCCGAACCACCATAAAAACCCCCTCTTGCCAATCTTTTATTGATATTTTTTCTGCAAAATATATAATCTCAGCTCCATATTCAAATCTCATGGATCCATCACGTGTGATTCCTAAGTCCGCTTAGCGCTTCTCACGTGCGAGTCGTTGGCGTCCAAAATCAAGCGTCAACAGCAGTAAACTTTACATAACAGCATTCTCCAGATCACAGTACTTTAGCAGTAAGCTTCACATAACAGCAAACTTCAGATCACAATCAGTACACAATAGCAGTAAACTTCCCATAACAGCATAAATCAGATCACAGCACTTGAGCAGCATCAGTCAGTCTGTACGTAAAGCAGCACTTTAACCTCATGTTCAATACACCATCAGCAGCACACTGATCACTTCATCATCTCATCACCTCAAAAATAAAACACTACTATAATCTAATGTTCAATACATCACCACCAACAACCTGATCATCACTTCACCCAACATTTTGAGTACTCTGACTACCACTAGATCAGTCAACAGCCATTCAAGACACCAAAAACAATACCACCAGCAACTTTCAAAATGAACAGGTGTAGACTCAAGAAACCTGATACCTATTGCAATACAAACAATTTGAATTACTATCACCATCAAACAGATTTGTAGCAAGAGTTGTCCAGGACTCATTCAGGTAAAGCATCAGACACATTTAACTTGTTCCTCAGCATAGTAAACCTGGTTCCAGATAGAGCTTTGGTCAAAACATCAGCCTTTTGGGTAATCTGAAACAACATATTGCACCAACAAACTCTTGCTTGCAACTAGCTCTCTAAGACAATGCACATCGATTTCTATATGCTTAGTGCGAGCATGAAAAATAGGGTTCGAATATAAGGCGCCCCAGCACTCATATGATCACCCCATATCACAGGAACATGTGGAAGATCAGTACCAAGTTCTTTAAAAAGATGTTGTACCATACAACTTCGGTGGCAGCTTGGCTGAATGCCCTGTATTCAGCTTCATTGAATGACAGAGAGACCACCTTCTGCTCCTTCGAGCTCCATTGTACCAAATTATCCCCAAGAAAAACAGCATAGTTAGCCATTCACATGACAAGAGGTGAAGGAGAAACGCAACAAAGAATAAATAGAGCAGATTGAATAAAAAGAACTAATTTAAAATCTTTCTACGAGCCTTTTGGAAGTTCTATCTCTCACTATCTATGGGGGAGTTTGTTAGGATCTCTTTACTTATCATGTTAAAATATCTCTCTCTTCCATGCATGGTTAATTGATCTCCTGTACATGAATATATTTTGCGAGGATTTGGAAACGAAATCTTCTGGACCCCAACTGGAGAACTAGCTGAGCAAATGAACACATTAAACTTCAACAACACAAACTCTCCCTCACGATCACAACAACTTTCAACCTTCATCTAATCTAGTTTGTGTTTTCTTGTTTCTCTTACTGTTGTAAAGTTTGTGAAGGGAATACTGGCGATTTGTTTGAAAAGAAAGGAGCTAAGAATCTGGATATGAGAAGTTGGGTTATATACAAAGGGCATTTGTGTCTTTAATGGGTCATGGAATTGTATGCAAAGGTACAAAGGGCATTTGTGTCTTTGTACAAGAGTCCATACAAATAACTTCATCCTTTTTTTAGGTTAATTGTCAATTCACACCTCAAAAAAGGTTANTTTTTTTTTTTTTTTTTTATACAGAAAATATCGTTGTTTAAATCTTGTGCAAGATATGACAAAGTTAAAATAATAAAACAGCTACCCACAAAATGGCAAACTAGAATTTTGAAGCATAAAACAACACAGTTTTGTAGGAAACATAGAACTCAACATATTAATAATAAGGGAAATAACGAAGATTTAAGCTCTAAAGTGTGAGATTGTGCTTACTCAGAAGATGAAGGGAGTCGCGTTAAGCAACCAAATGGACACCAGTGAACTCCAAAAGACTGCAAAACCCATTTAGATAAATATATGTTGAGTCATGTAAAGTTCAATAATATCATTATCTTGTTTTCATAAACCCAAACACATATTTACACATACATTCATTGAAGAACAACTACGTTGTTTAATTTTTCATAAATTTACAGAGACATAAAAGGAGAAAAATGAAACAAAATCATAGATGTTATCAACATGTTGACATTCAAGCGAAAGCTGGTATAACAAATTCTAGCACATCTTCAACTCCTATTGCACCATCACTTGCCTCCTGAATAATTCAAAGTATCTTCCTGGAAGAACTTGCAACTAAAAACTATGCAGAATGTCTCCAGAGATTCAAAGATACTTATTGGTACAAAACTAGTACAAGAGAAATTACTAAGGCATTGATTTTATAAATTAATTTCTAATTTCTAGGAAGGACTAATTTCCTAAATTGTTAGGCTATCTGCATCACAGAATCTTTAAGTCTTTCACATTATTATCTTGTTTTCTGGATATATAGATTGGTGAACAACGATGTTGACAATGGGATGTTTAAAACTTTGTTCCCAGTAACAATTAGCAATCTAGAATTTATTTTCATTACTCAGGTGCAAATAGGTATTACTGGTGCAATTGTTCTCCAAAAAACACATAGCATCATCCTTTCTGTTTAGCCTCGACACTCTTGTGATCAATATTACCATTCATTTACCCATTCCCAATCCTACATAAAATCTCCTCCTGGTTTAGACACTTCAAAAACTTAATAAGAAAGTTCCAAGTTAGTAAATGTTGAAGCAAAGTCTCTGAATTTAGAGAAAATTTACTTATCCTCTGTACCTTGTCAAGAAGCTGCCTTTGCAGTTGTGCTTCTGTTAGATAGTATTTAATGCTAAGTTTATTTGGCCTTCTAACAACTGCCAAAGAGAGGGGTGGTGTATGAAAAAAGAACTTTAAGCTGATTCTAAGTCTCCTAACTTTATGTGTACATAATTATACTAGAGCAATCAGCATGTTTATACTTGTATGAGACCCGAATATCAATAGATAATGTGAATTGGAAAGTAAAACAGATAAAAAAAGGAGTATGTCATAATCACTGAATTAAAATTTTCAGAGCAGTAACTACAATAGGCAATGGAAATTCTAATAGAAATTTTGTTTTTACCATTTCCAAGTAGCTTAGATCTTCGTCATGAGTCCAGTCATCCATGCTAAATGCAGGAAAGGAAAGGCAACCATTTGCATAAAGGCTAAAGCCATTGACCTTTCTCAATTTGCTTCGAAGAAGAGAAATTCAAGGAGTAGTAAGCTTTGCTTCATTTCTCAGTTTGTTCGTCTTCATTTTCACATGTGGAGTTGTTTTGGAGCAGGAAAGTTTTGATTTTGAGCTGGTGGTTCCCATTCCAGCTCACGCCAACATAAGCTATTTTCCTAATTTTCATTAGGAATTTAGTTTGTTTTCCAATTTTATAATTCCTTGTTTAAGTTAGGATTTTTTTCCAATTTTATAATTCCTTATTTGAGTAGTATTAGGATTATTTTATTTTATTTTAATTATTTTTTCCTATATGTTATTATAAAGGTTTACTTTGGAAGCCTTTGTTGTGATTCAAGAAGCCTCTTTGCGGATTCAGATAGCGAGACTAATAAGTAAGTTGAAGTCTCTCTCTTCCTCTCTCTCTCTCTCTCTCTCTCTCTCTCTCTCTCTACTTTTATCTTACTGAATTTGTTTGTTTGTTTTGTGTGTGTTGGTGTGGTGCGTTTTGAAGTCAAAGATGTTGTCGTTGCAAAGAGCATTGGTGTTTCTTATACTTCAGTTTCTCGAAGAAGAGAAATTCGAGGAGTCTCTTCACAAGTAAGTTTTACGAAGAGCATTTTTTGTGTTTGTGTTGTTTTGTTTAATGGATAGTTTTACGCAAAGACAAAATTTAGTGTATTAATTACATTGCAATTTTTGCAATTTTTATCTTTTAATAGTTTTTTATGTCCCTGAACACATCCCATCATCTATAGATACACGCTAAGAGAATCGTCTAATAGCTCAATTCTTGTGTTTATATATGAATTATGCTAGCCTAAGGACTCAGGGGAACCTCCTTTGTCAAACAAAATTTTAAAAGTTGGCAAAATCTGAATAGTGTTGGGTTGGTTTGGGTGGAGTGTGTTCTTTCCTTAGCAAATTGATGTTTTGGTTGAAAATTATTTAATTGGAGTTCCATATTTAATAAAGGATGTTACTTTCCATGTTTTGGTAGGCTTGAAAAAGAATCAGGGTTTTATTTCAACTTGAAGTACCTCTACGAGAAAGTTCAAGCCGGAGATTGGGTTGAAGTTGAGAAATACTTGTCAGGATTTACCAAAGTTGATGATAACCAAGAATCTATGAAGATATTCTATGAAATTAGGAAGCAAAAGTATCTTGAAGCACTTGATAGGTATAAGTAATTTGCATTTATCAGTGAAAGTTTTTTATAGTTTTTTCTTGTGTATTAATTTTTTCTGTCTTAAATCATATTATAGGCGAGAAAAGGCAAAGGCGCTTGAAATATTAGAGACTGATTTAAAAGTGTTTTCAACATTGAATGAGGAAGGGTACAAAGAAATTACACAACTTTTAACTCTCAGCAATTTAAGGTAATTTTTGTTGGTTCTCAATTTTCTCTTAAATAATGAGCTATAAATTGAAATTTTGAATCTTTTTATGATCAATTTGCTTGAATAAATGCAATAGTCATTATTCAAATTTTTAAGTGTTGCTAGTTCGACTTGAGTTTATGACACTTTGGTGTATCAAATCAATTCAGGGAAAATGAGCAGCTGTCCAAGTATGACACCGAAACAGCTCGTTTCATACTTCTGATAGAGCTCAAAAAACTGATAGAAGCAAACCCATGTTTCCTCAATAAGCTTACTTTTCCCACTCGGAAGGATTCAGAATTGCAGTCTCTAATGAATGGGTAAAGTGATACAATACAGTATATTTTTCTAATTTCTATCTGGTTTTGCCATAAATGATCAATTTTTTTCCTTTTTTAAGTCATTCATTATGCTTAACATGAAGCTTGCTTATGAAGTATTCCTTTTTATTGTTTGTTTGTTTCCTATAAACTGGAGCCGTGTTTCCGTCTTTTTGCTGTATGTTTCTATGAAAAAGTTGGAGCCAAATACCCAGTATTTAATACATGATCTTTGATGCAGTTTAAACTGGGTGCACCTATTTGGCAAGAACCCATGGTCGGAAAAGAACCCGAGGCCAGAAAAGAACCCAAGGCTAAACCCCGACATTAAGACTGAGTTTACTGACCATACATGCACATCTCCAAATGGTCCTCCTGTTGCAGCAGATGCAAAGCCAGAAAAGAACCCAAGGCTAAACCCCGACATTAAGACTGAGTTTACTGACCATACATGTACACCTCCAAATGGTCCTCCTGTTGCAGCAGATGCAAAGCCAGCTTCTTCCAATGTATGATAATACTCCACATCCTTATTATTTAAGTAAATATTAACCATATTGGAGGAGCAAATATTAAAAATATTGACTAATGCATATTTTTTTGGGTATAGCCTAAAATGGGAATTTGGCTAACTCCCGAACAGATCAATGAGAATGTCAAGGCCTTGAAGAAGGTACGGGATAGGGAACTTGAGGAACAAAAGTTGTTAATGAAAAATCTAGAATATCTGCATGGCATTATTAAACTAGACCGTCTGAATGGCGAGGACTTCGCTTCTATGCAACTTGATGAGGTAGTGCTCTACAGATCTCATTAGCTAATTTCATGTTTTCACTAGTATTCTTATTTGTTTCCTTTATGTTTTGGTTTTGATTTTGTAGTTATATGCGATTTTAGATGAGCTTGTGAGCCACGGTTCCAGTAAGGTCCCAGACAAGGCCATACATATTATGAGATTGCTGAATCGATACAATCGAATGCCATATATATATTTTTGAATTTGATGACAGTTGGTTGATCTACACAATGAAGCTGACGGTATTGTCGGTGGCTGCTGTCCGACTACCCCAAAGCAGCCAGTTTTCAGTTTTCCAGAAATTAATTATATATTTATTAGATTTTTATTTTAATTACATTATTATTATGTAAAAAATAATGAGGGTCCCTTTGTTTTATTATTTTAGATAGGATTTTGGAAATAATATTGAGTAGTTGAATAGAGGAGTATTACGAGGTAAAATTTAAAATTTTACATAAAAAACCCCCAAGGTTTGCTAATTTAACTAAACACCCCAATATATGAAATTTTTGTAAAATGATAAAAACACCCTCACCCACCACAGTGCCAGATTTCGGCAACCACCGTAGGAATTTGGTCAGAAATTGGCGTTACGATGCAAACCAGTCAAATCTGGTGGGTAGGGCGTCGATGACTTTTTCAGGCCAGATTCACCACGGATCTTGACGAAAAAAGCCAGATTTAAGGCCAGATCAAAAGTCCAGACTAATAAAGATATCTCAGCTAGCCAACTGAAAAGATTATTTTTTTATTAGTTTGGTGCTAAATTTTTGCAAACCACTACCAGGTCGTCTGATGGTTAAAGAGCAAAAAAAGTTTCTCTAAGCTTTTGAGTTTGAGTCTCCCTAGGCACTAATAGGAGTGGTCATTACAGGATTAACCGATCAGACTTTTAAGGTCTTGGAAGATTAGTTGAAGTGTGCGTAAGCTAGCCTGAACACCTCTAATTATAAAAAAATAAAAATAAAATAAATAATCTTTTCAGTTTAGCACCTCTCATTGTGTTTGCTTTCTTACTGCAAATTCCATATTCAATGATGCAAGCTATCCTGGAATGGTTGTATTAGTGATTCCATTAGGAGAAACCAGTGAAAAATCCATCTCTCTCTAATCCTTAAAGTTTGAATCTATGAATCTCTCCCACTTCCTCACTGGTATGTTAATGGAAAACCAAAGTTTAAAAATACGTGAGCTAGGATTCATGGGTTTTGTTTGAGAAACAAAGTAGATAGAGATTCGGAAATAAATTATTGGGCTAGGTTATGTCTTTAGTAGTGTGTTGAATGTGGTTGTTTAATTTTATGTTTATCTTTAAAATGATTTAAAATTGTTAGGCTATAAGAAATCTGGAAACAAATACTGTTTACATTTTTTTTTTTTAAGAGTAATACTAGATCTACAACCCAATCTTATAATCTTATCTCACAATCTTCGGCGTAATAATTCGTAATTGGTCAGTTCACAAATCATATTATTTAAAAATGTCATATTATATGATATGACATTTTTAAATTATGATACATCATTTTTTAAGTGAAAAAATTTGATACGCTTGTTTTGGACAACTTAATGATATTAACCTAAGAAAAAAAAAAAGATTGGTATAGAATTGGAGGACCAAGAAGTTTTTTCCCTTATTATTGTTTTTTATATTTTCAACTCATCGTTTTTTCTGGTAAATGGTTGGGAGATGTTATTAAGTAATCCACTTTGATTTGATAACCATATTCTTATAACAAAAATGACAGTATCTCGTTTGAACATACGTTACATAATATTTGTAATTCGATCATTTTTATTATATTAGTTATTAATGTTATTGATTTGATATTACTGTATGATTACATTCTTAATGTAGTATTGATAAAACAATCATAAGATAATGTATTATAATACAAAAATACTACCTCCTTTTTTTTTCTTTTTTTTTTTACTGGGTGTATCTATACCAGTTTATACGCATCTCGACTAGTCTCTAACCTCGAATAAGACTTTCGAAACAGAGCAAGCCCTATAGTATATAACCAACAATATTAGCATCATTCTTGTGATTCGAACCTAAGACCACAGGGGGAGCAAACCCCTTGGCCCCAAGCCTTTACCACTCGGTCAACCTATTGTTGGTTCAAAAATACTACGTTTAAAAACCTCTTCTCATAAACATTCTTTTACAATCCCGACGTGGTGCGTAGCTTGTGATTGGTCAGCTCGTAAATGTGTTCCGCCTTCTTATTGTGGGTCCCATATGTCTATTTGTAAGTTAACTAATAGCGAGTTACTATGTCGGAGTTATGAAAGAAAGTTTATGGGAAAAGGTTGTAAACTTAGTATTACTCATGATAGTATAAGGTTTTTGGAAACTGTTTTGTTTTATGAAAAACACAAATTTGTTTAGGATCTACAGAGAATATTATAATTGTTTTTATACACACTATTAAATTATTTTCTTTGTTTTCAAGTTCCTACCTTTAAACAAGTACTTTAAAATAACAACAAAATTTTATTTTTCGAAAAACGGAACTGAAAAATGAGAAATTAGATTTGCTATTTTTAAAATATGATTCTTATCTATACAGTGTTTAAAGTTTCTGTCACAACCCTAAAGAAGAGTGAATGACTTTCCCACCCAAGGTTTGCCTCAATAGCACTTTCCCACCCAAAAAGTTTCAAAATACCATTTTCCCACCCAATCGTCATGTTCCTTCGGTAAATGCCATTAAATATAATGATTTTCATTGCAAAGACGGAAATACCCCTAACTATTTGACTAGAAATTTTTTTTATTAGTATACATCATATCAACAACGTCAATTACCCATATACCCCCAACCATGTGTAAAGATTAAATTACCAATTTGTCCCTAATGCTAAAAATCAACCGGTAACTTTTGAGATTTTAAAATTTTGAAACAGTTGAAATCACCATTTTGTCCTTGAGTTTGATGCAAAATAAATTGATATTTATATAATGAATTTTGTCAATTTAAACCCAACAAGAGAGTAGATTTGAAAATCACAATGCAACTCGTTGAATTGAAAACAAAAAAAGAAAAAAAAAAAAATTGGGAGAACACAAAATTGGAGTTAAAATCACTTCATTGTCATTGTTACAATTCACATTCAAATATATCAAAGTCAATTCATTGTCATCATCACAATTCTCATTCAAAAATATCAAATCCAATTCAATCTCCATCTCCCTACACGCCACCGTCATAAATCAATGATCAGTAATATATATATAGAGCAAATAGATGACAAGTATTTGATTTGTCCTAGGTGATGAAAATGGTAAATAAACATCATGATTTAATTATGGTGCTTCTTATACTGCAAACCCTTGATGATCTCCAAGGGTTATGACCTCAAACAGATTAAAACAGTAACTTTCACTCAGAATTTCCACAAACTTATATTACAGACACTATAATATTTGTAGTTGTACCAAATTTTTTTTTTTTTTCCTAAACGTAGATATAAGAACTGGGTTATGCCTTTTATAGGTTATGGTTCTCACTAACGCTAATTTTTTGAGATAAATATTGATAGGATGAAATACTTAATAATTGGAGGGAGGTTTATGAAATATTTAATAAATGGGGGGAGGTAATATAATTGGGGGGAGGTTTATGAACTACTTAATAATTGGGGGAGGTTTAGGAATATTTAATAATTGGGGGGAGGTTTATGACATATTATTATGTTTGATCGTAAAATTTTATTTTGTTGGCTTCTCATTTTTTAAATTATTTATTTTGATTGTAAAATTTTATTTATATTATAAAACTAAATTATGCAAGACTCGGTAAGATGTATAACTTAATTTTACATATTATATTTTAATACATATACAACGAGTAAACCGCTAATATATATTATTTATTCAGGCTAGCGAGTGGCTAGCTTTACCATAGTATCATATAGAGATACTCAATATAAAAATTATCAATCATATTAATTATAACAAAAAAATATTACTTGTGACATAAACAATTATAAATTCTCATAAATCATAGGACAATATTCTATAACTTGAAATGCATAATATTATTTGGAAATATAAAGACTAAATTTTAAAAACTCTTAAATGCATATATTTTCGATTTTTTTTTTTTTTTAAATCAAAACTCTCATTTATCAATGAATCAAAATCTTTTTCATAATATAATTACAAATTTTTTTTTACTCAAATTTA